GGGGGGGGGGGGGGGGGGCGGCGACCGTGCACGCGTGTGAAATTAGGGGCCGCCGGCGGCAAGCTGGGTTCGTGCCCCGACGAGGGCGTGCACAGCGCCAGGCGCCACTGCACTTTCACCACGCCTACTGCACCCGCTGAGCTGTCAAACCCCGAAACCCCGCACTCGGTGAGCGCCAATGCAATCGCTCGAGCGCGCCACGACACACAGCGGCCCACCATGGGGCCGGAGGGGTCGGGTGCGCGCCCGGGATTGTCGCCGCCCCCGCCGCCAGTGGGGGGCGGCTTGGGCACGCCGACACCGCCGCCGCCGCCGCTGCTTGTGCCGCCAGGCTGTTTGTAGGTGTGGTTTTGGGGAGAGGAGGGGGGAGGGCAGCAGAGGCGTGTCGGGGCAAAACCACGCCCGTCTGCTCATGTGCCGCCCCCATCGACGGGCCTTGCCCCAGTGCCGACCCCTCGGCCGCGAGTCGCCGTGCTTGAGACCCACCTGCACCTCGCCCGCAGCTGGGCTGCGGACCAATGGGCGAGCGCCGAGCGGGAGCGCCGGCCGGCCGTGCGCGAAGCATGCCCTCTTGGGCGCGAGCGGCGGCCGCCCGCACGCCATGGGCCGCGCCAGGCCCCCGGGCCTGGCCAGGGTGTTCATATTTGCGCCCTGTGTCCTATATTTAGCGCGCCCCTAAGGCCGCTAGGTTGACTACTACTTACAAACCAGGGGCCACGCGAACGCTTGCGCGTGGTTTGCGCACGTCTCGTCGCGCATATTTCGTTCTCAGCACATTGCTTGGTTAAAAATGAACGGCCCCGCGAGCCTAAGGGCGTCTCCACTGATCAGGGATCTACAGGGAGCACTGCGCACTGTATACGATTATACGGGAGAGACGCAACTGCGGATACAATATTGATGCAGAGGCAAGTGGGAGTCGCAAGGAGCCCTAAGAACGGTGTAACTACATCGGTTTGGGGTTTGCAGCGACATTTGACGAACACCCAGTGCCAGTGGGTGTTGGTGAGCTGGCATGCAGTGCGTGCCAGCTCACCTCCGCGCACTCGCTTGTTGTGCTTGCTGTCCCAAGCAAAATGGATGGCTGCGTCCATGTAACCCGCGTGGCTCGGGCGGCTGGTGTTCATCTAGGCCCCCACGCTTGGCCAAAAGAACTGTACGGTACTGCCGTGCCGCACTGCGGGGACTCCTCTCTTACCATCATGCTTGCTGCTGCGTCCTAAATGGGAGCGTGTGCTGGGTGAGAGTGTGCTGGGTCCTAGATGGGACAGTGTGCTGGTGGGTATTCAATGGGACAGTCAGGAGTGGACATTGAGCGTGATGGAATTCTTACATGGTAGGAAGCAAATAGGAGTCGTTCCAGGTGCAGGATGTGGGGGCCGGGGCATGCGTTGGGCGGGCGGCGCACTATGGCGCCTGCAGCACGCCACGCTGAGCGTGCGGCACATGCAGGGTTGGGGTGCAGGGCCCTAGGTATACTCAATTCTGGAAAAAGCAACAGTAACCGCGCCCTGAATGGCGCCGCACGGCCCCGCTGCGGGTGCCAACTGCTGCCTTGGTCAACTGCGGAGGGGGTGGCCATCATATGCCATCTATGCCGGCCCCGACGCGCTATGCACAAGAGGACCGCGGGGCCCGCAGGCGGTGCCGCGCCGCAGGCGCCGCGGCGTCACGGAGGGCGCACGCGCGCCCACGCTACGCAGCGGCCGCTAGCGATGGGGCTGCCAGGCTCGTGGGGCTCTCCCAGCGCGTTTCCGGGCCCGCCGCGCCATTGGAGGGCGCGGGCCGTGCGCCGGCGCCGCGCGAGGGATGAAAACCGCCGGCGGCGCCTCGCGCGTGAGGGCGGCGGCTGCAGCACGCCGAACAGCGGCGGAAACGCGCGGAGATGGGGGGGGGGGGGAGGCCGGGCCTTCC